ATGGTGAGAGGGGACAATTTCATTTTGACCTCTTGTTGCCCAGACCTTTTTATTCTAGTTTTTGGTGACACAACATCATGTATCAGTCACTGGTTCAGTGAATATACAGTATCTTAGGAATACCCAACCTGTCCCTTAACTAAGTATTAGATAGACCCTTCCAACATCCTATTCGGTTGGCTGCTTTCATGTGATACAGCATAGAATTGAATCAATGAAATCTTTCATCCTACTTCCCACTGTTCCATTTCCTTCACCATTAAAAGAGTTCTTCGATTCCATGCAATGGCATATGTGATCTCGTTTTGGTAAAGCAGGCATTCTGAGAGTGCTTGAATAGTGGAGCTGGCAGAGGCATTGATGTCAAGAAAAGCAAATTCTTATCTGTAGTATGAGCAATTCTGCTAAAGACGGGTTACCAACTCCTCCAGAGTAGAGGTTCCTATGTAATCAGCAACACTTTTAATTAATCCCAGGGCCTGGCTTTCCGCAAAGTGGACCTTTTGGCCCCAGACATGAGCTTTTTTAATGTTGTCAAGTAGACCCTTTCACTTTCACAGCTTGCCTTCATTTGTCCCTGAGAGCTGTGGTAGAATCATGTGTGCTAAGGGGATATGGCATGGGGTAGAAAAGGGTTTGTCACAGTCACTTGGCAAAATATTCAAACTCGTATTGTGGCACAGAAGCCCCAACCCCTATGATCTAGCCTTGTCCTCTTCTCTGATCCCACCAGAGACTCCACTGGAAGCTCAGCTTCATGTGGGAAAGGATTTGGTCAGTGTTGTTCACTTCCATACCTTCAGTATCTGGAACACACTATGGCCCTTGGTAAGTGCTAGAAATAGATGTGAATGAATAAATCTTATAACCAAGCATTCCTTTGCTCGCTGTGTTCCAACCGCAACTGTCCTTCCTTCTGTTTTTCCAACTCAGAAGCTCATTCCCTCCTCAGGGGTCTCTGCATGAGCTACCCTGCCTGAAATGCCTTCCCTCAGACCTTGGAATGGGCAGCACCTCTTCATCACTCTGTGACCAACTTCAATATCACTTTCTCAGAGAAGTGTTTTTGGTCACCTGTTTTAAAGTATCTCCTTCAATTACTTCTTAACACTTATTTATATTTTATAGTTTGGTATCATTTATGATTAGCTGAAATTGTCTTGTTAATTTGTTGAGATGATCTGTTTCCTCCTACTAGAGCAGAGTGTGTCTCCTATTTACAGCTGTTTCCCTTGTACCTTGACACTGACAACAATGCAAGGTACTCAATAAATATTTTATTAAATGGTTGAAGAGCACTATTAACTTAACTCATGAGGAAATACACTTCTTGTTGGAGGGTTTTGCCTTTCTTTGAAAAACCATGTGTTGCCCCAGTTGATTATTCTTCACCAAATATTTGGCAAAACTATTGAAAGTGATGCACTGTACTGTAATACCCTGGTCTTCCTATAGAACATTTTAATACCTAAGAATAATATGTGTACCAACCCATTCTTTCACACAGTGGCTAGTTGTATTGAGAGGGTGGTACATTTGGTCAATAACTCCCCAATTTTTTTCCCCACATCTTTTCAGCTCTCTTGGATGATTGCCTTTTTGCCCTAAAAGATGGATAGACATTTAGCATAGTCATTGGTCTAGTTGGGAGGCCTTGGTATTGAACACTCCATGAAGAAGCATTTCCAACCTGCACATTGTAGAGTTCAGATTAGGGAACAATTAATCTCCCTCTGTAAACACTAAGAAGGAACTCACTTAGGCTCTCAGCCACACTTCCTTGTTATGGAGAGAATCATCACCTCAGTCATCATGGTGTCCCACTTGGCTTTCTTCCCCTGTTTCATAATCCTTAAACCTCTTTTCTTTTTCCCTCTCTCTCTCTCTTTACATTCGGAAGCCTTTTTTAAGGAACTCTGCAGTGTACCAGGAGATGGGATTTCTAGGTTATATTTAGATATTCACACTGTGAGGTTCTCCCTTCACACTTGGTCTAGCTTCCCATGCATAGAAAGCTACAATAACCTTTTTCTTCTCCCAGATAGACAAGCTAATTACTTCTCTTGTTCGTCTTTATGCACAGTCTTTTCCGTAAAATATATTTAGGTTTCTTTGGGGTTATTGCATTTTTTCCCTTCAGCGTATTTTTCTTATTCGTGTCTGCATGTTGTCATAATCACCTTTTTAAAAAAATGAATAATTATATAAGATATTTTGGGGGTTTCTATATTCTTGTTTCAGAGGCTTGATTTATAAACAGCTTCTTTTTTGCTGGGCTTTTTATGAGTATCAATTTTTAAAATGTGCTTTCAACTGAAGTTGTTAAACCTATTGAAACATAGACTTTAGTTCTCTGAAGATCTAGATTTTACTTGCTGTCAATGCAACTAAACCTCAGTCTTTGCCATCCTGAGCAGCATTTAACAGTACTCAGTCTTCTGCATATATGCAAAGGTTTGAGTCCCTAAGTCTTAAGACCTCATTTACTCAGTCATTCACAGTGAAGTATATATCAAATGAAATGAACCAGCTAGTTTCTAAATGTGTGCAGCTCCAGAAAGAAGCATACATTTTTATTAGCTAAAATCATACGAGACTAAATCATACCAAAACTACATACTAAAATCATATAAAACCAATCTTTTGAAGACAAAGGGGACTTTAACACCTACTTTTTCCACACACAGATTTGTTCTGCGTCTGGTTCCAGTGAAAGCTGACTATTTCTTACGAACTCTAGACTAGTTAAGTTAGAAATGGCTTACATTGTTGATGTTGACGTTGTTCCTGTTCCAGTAGGAGTACATTACAGAGGGCAAGATCGACATCAGAAATGGCGCATTTTAATGGATTTCTAAGAAGAGAAACAGTTGTAGATATTCACTGATGCAAATAACAGTGATGTAAAGCTGGTCATTTGTTTTCTTTTATTTAAAAAAATATTAAAATGATCCAAGGAGAGTGAAAATCAGGGTCAGTCCCTGCATGTCCAGTCTGAGCTCTATTTGAGGGCTTTCATGAATCAAATCTGCAAGTCTAAACCTGATACTTGGTTTTAAGGGTTAAGTGTACCTAAAATAATAATGTTAAAGTGATCAGACATTTTTGTGTAGAATAAAAATGTCTGTTGTTAGTTCCATTCTGTCTTATTTTGGTATGGTGAAGCAGGACCAACTAAAGCAGTATTAATTTCAGTCAAATTGAATAGAATGGCAAGGCTATGAGATAAACTGGGAAACTGAACAAACAGGATCCAAATAACAGTCCTTTGAAGTGAAAATTACTAGCATCGCTGCCGTAAAGTGTAATGTGCCCCTTAGCCTAATCTGCTTTCAGAAAAATAAGCCTGCTTCTTTTCTTTGTGAAACAAGGAAGTAAGGTTGGAGATGAAATGGACGAGAGTGTGAGAAGCTGTGCAGTGGAGGGATCCAGAGGGAAGAGAACAAGCATTTCCTTTCTGGGGGAAAGTCATTTATCAGAGAATAATGACTGAGTCCTGGTACTGTAGATCAGCGGTTCCTGGACGTGTGGATTTTTTTTCAAAATTATATTTTGAAAATTTTCAAATATACAGAAAAGTTGAAAGAATTGTACAGTGAACATTCATATACACAGGACCTAGATTCTGCAATTAATATTTTATTGTACTTTCTTTGTTACCTAAATATCCATCTATCTATCTCTAATCACTTACCAATCTGTCTTGGTTTTGAGGCATTTTAAAGTAAATTAGAGACATGATTACATGTCATCTCTAAATACATTGCTACATAATGAACACCACTATGTAGAGTTCAATACTTGTGTATCATTTGCTTTTTTAAAGTATATATATATATATTTTTAATAGATCTTTATTGGAATATAATTGCTTCACAACACTGTGTTAGTTTCTGTTGTACACCAAAGTGAATCAGCCATATGCAGACCTATGTCCCCATATCCCCTCCCTCTTGAGCCTCCCTCCCATCCCCCCTATCCCACCCCTCTAAGTCATCGCAAGGCACCAAGCTGATCTCCCTTTGCTATGCTGCTGTTTCCCACTAGCTAACTATTTTACATTCGGTATAGTATATATGTCAATGCTACTCTCACTTCGCCCCAGCTTCCCCCTCCCACCCCATGTCCTCAAGTCCATTCTCTATGTCTACATCTGTATTCCTGCCCTGCAACTAGGTTCATCAGTACCATTTTTTTGTTGTTGTTTTAGATTCCATGTATATGCATTAGCATACAGTATTTGTTTTTCTCTTTCTGACTTACTTCACTCTGTATGACAGACTCTAGGTCCATCCACCTCACTATAAATAACTCAATTTCATTTCTTTTTATGGCTGAGTAATATTCCATTGTATATATGTGCCACATCTTCTTTATCCATTTATCTGTCAATGGACACTTAGGTTGCTTCCATGTCCTGGCTATTGTAAATAGTGCTGCAATTAACATTTGTGGTACATGTCTCTTTTTGAATTATGATTTTCTCAGGGTATATGCCCAGTAGTGGGATTGCTGGGTCATATGGTAGTTCTATTTTTAGGTTTTTAAGGAACCTCCATACTGCTTTCCATAGTAGCTGTATCAATTTACATTCCCACCAACAGTGCAGGAGGGTTCCCTTTTCACCACACCCTTTCCAGCATTTATTGTTTCTAGATGTTTTGATAATGGCCATTCTGACCGGCATGAGGTGAAACCTCATTGTAGCTTTGATTTGCATTTCTCTAATAATTAGTGATGTTGAGTGTCTTTTCATGTGCCTCTTGTCCATCTGTATGTCTTCCCTGGTGAAATGTCTATTTCGGTCTTCCGCTCATTTTTTTTTTTTTTTCATTAGGAGACTTTTATTTTAAAAGTGTCATCTTAAACTGCAAGGATGTCCGTTAAACATCACAATTAAACATGCCAAAGGAGAAGCCATGTTGTCGAAATGCCCACTTAACCCACCCAAACATCTCAAACCCACCCTTTGCTGACCTTCTATAATCCCATTTTTTTAAGTTTTTTTTTTCTTTTTTTAAACAAGAGAAAGTAGACAGATGCATGTTGGTAAATGCTAACTGTCCATATTCACATAGAGACACAGTGTAATCTCTGAGCCCAGTATACAGAGAAAGGAGGAGAAAAACTAGAATTCTATGCACTACTACACAGGGACCTAGCACCCTCCAGCTTCCAGCAGAGCTAAGGGAGCAGAAGGTTTTTCTTTTTTCCCACAGAGCATGGTGGTGTTGATTCCATAAAGTTTTTGTTGAGACAGGAAGGGATAAAAATGAATTTGGAACAGAAAGGGGTAGAGATTCTTTTCCCACTGAATTCTGCTCAAGGTATTTCCCCCCAAAATAAGTTGTGAGCCATGGTATAAAGGAGAAAAGAGACCTCAAAAACAGGGCGACTGAGCACAAGAGGAGGAGGAGAAAAAAAAAAAAAAAAGACTGCAACTTGCTCCCAGGGACTGGAGAAAATTAACAGAGGAAGGTGGGAATCCATCAGTGTTCCATTAGTCATCTTCTCCTTCATCTTCCTCTCCTCCCTCCCCCTCATCATCATCTTCATCTTCTTCACCTTCAGCCTCATCCCCTTCTTCATCAATATCTTCCAATCCTTCTTCCTCTTCATCATCATCATCATCTTCTTCTCCTTCCCTTTCCTCATCATCCGTGTCCAGAACCAAGTAGTACTGTTATGGATTTGGCCAAATATCATCTTTGATGACCTCTCCTAACTCATCTGCACCTGCATCAGAATGACCAGTAAAGCAGGTGAAGAAGCTTTCTGGGTCCTCATGCTGTCTCTTCCTGCTGGCTTTATTCTGAGTTTCACTTGAACGTTTTGTCACATCCTTTCCGGATTTCCATTTGATTTCAGTGGACTTTGAAGATGGATCACCACTCTCATTCAGATGAAATTCTTTGGAGAGAACTTTATTTTCAGAGTAAGGGTTTTCATCAAAATAAACATCTATTCTGTAACCTGATTTAATATCTTCAAATTCTGTCACTTCGACTCTTGTCAAATAATGCAGCGCCTCTTCGTCCTCCTCCTCAAGCAGTGCAGACACTTGTGGATGGTTAACAAATGTTGTTACCCAAAAATGTGGGGTTTTGGTGAACAATTCCGACCTCTTCTGAAAAAATGGTTGGCGGAGTTTGTTATATTTCTGTTCTACTTTCAAAATCTCCTCACTGGCTTGTTCGTTAAGTCTGTCTATTTCATTTTGTACGTCATCAATGTGTTCAATTGCTTCTTGCTGTTCTTTTTCTTCCTTCGGCAAGTTCGGAGAAGCAGACGTTTCCTCTGGCCTGCAGGCAGGAGTCCTTCTCGGTTTCTTCGGGTTCTTTGCTTGGGGTGGAAGTGAAGACTGGTGTTCGGGGGCCATGCTGGGAGAAAAGCCAAGAATCCACCCAAGGGAAGAAGCTCGTACCAGGAGCTCTGAGAACTCTTCCGCTCATTTTTTAATTGGATTGTTTGGTATATCTTTCCAGAATCTTTCGTATATATATTAGATGCCAGTACTTTGTTAGATATATGTTTTATGACTATTTTCTGACAGTCTGTAGGTTGTTAATTCATTTTCTGTATATCATCTTTTGCTGAAGAGACATTTTAAATTTATTACTCTTTTATAGTTATTGCTAGAGTCTGTCAAAGAAACCTTTGCATAATCTCAAGTCATAAAATATTCTCCTATGTTTTCTCGTAGACGTTTTATAGTTGTGGCTTTTCCATTTATATTTAGGATCCAGCTCATGTTAATTTTACTACGGTGTTAGGTATGCATACCTATATGGATATGCACTCATTCCTTTCCCCTTGGTTGACTTTGTTCATCAAAATCAAATACCCATGTATGTTTAGGTCTATTTCTGGGCTCTAGATTCAAACTAACACCATTTCTGTATAAGGACACAGTAGAGGTATCATTAGTAATACTTGACAACTTTGAGTTTTGACATGATACCCTCAATAGATTTTCCAGGACCTTTGACATAAAGATCTGGAATTCCCAGCATAGGAGTATATTGCATAGAAAATACTTAGTTTCTAATATTATTTGTAAAAATTAATGTTACTTTTTTGTGGTAGAAATATCCCTCCACCGTCTTCATAAACTTGGTGGAAAACTTCAGACGACACATAAGCTTCTAATGTTGTTCTATAACTTACAAGCCTTTCTGCTATATTTCACTGTAATAAACATTTCAGTGTAAATACAATTTCTGAATTCCAAATGATGTCACTTTTTAAGATTTCTTTTGTTGTGTAACAAAATTCCAGAGTACCAAATAATTAGGGCGTTCCCATGCATAGCATTCACACTCTACATATAAAAAGTACAGGGCTTCCCTGGTGGCGCAGTGTTTGGGAGTCCGCCTGCTGATGCAGGGGACACGGGTTCGTGCCCCGGTCCGGGAAGATCCCACATGCCGTGGAGCGGCTGGGCCCGTGAGCCATGGCCGCTGAGCCTGCACGTCCGGAGCCTGGGCTCCGCAACAGGAGAGGCCACAACAGTGAGAGGCCCGCATACCGCAAAAAAAAAAAAAAAAGATTGTCCACTCGAAAACTTCTTTTGATAAATACTAATTAGCAAGTTTTCTATGACCATTGTAAAATAACAACTGTTACATGTCTACTTGATTTGCCCTAGCATTTCCACAACTAGTCTTCCATACTTCAGCAACAATCTCATCCATTTCTAAATGGGCATACTTTCTCAACCTCACATAACTTATTCATCTTTAAATGCCCTTTCACATAAATAATGTCTCTTTCATTTTCATCTTAGTTTCACATGCGTACATTCTTAAATGTTTGTCAGTCACTGAGCAGGGCTATTCTTCCAGGACAGTGGGGTTGGTTTAATTGGGATGCAAAGCTTGTAGCTGCATAGGGCAGGCACGTGAAGCCTCATTCCAGATTTGTGGGTGCAGAGCAGATGCCGGGCACCAGGGGCAATGGTAGACTGTTGTAGAGTGGATACAAATGTGCACAGCACTCCCTCTCTTTCACTCACATTCTCCCCTAGACAGCACTATTGGACCGAACTCTGCTTTCTAAAGGCATCATGCCACGCTGTGGGGCTGCTCCAGGCGGTGCAATGTGTTATGATGCTTTTCTAGATTACTGTTCTGCTTAAAACTCATTTTTAAAAGAATGATTTCCTGACTGTTCCCATATAGTCAGTAGGAATTCTGTGCAGACGTTTTATCACTCAGATGTGGAAAGCATTACCTGTTTTTCTCTTTTCTCTGTTTCTGTTTTCTCTGGCTAAAAGTTATAGTACAAGTTATATTTTTTCCCTCTTTATACCCTGTAGTATTTATGGATTTCCAGAATGTCCCTTTGGCTTAAAATGAAGCAGTATGTTATACAGATTAGGAGCTATAATTGTTAGGAAAATGCTATAGGGCTTTTTAGCAAGTTACACATCACATTTGATTAATGAGAAATAATGGTAGACAGCATTCTTTATAGAGAAAATGTATTTATCATATTTCTTTCCTTAAAATAGATGTGATTTAACAGGTGAAATGTCCTGTGATTCCTCTCCTTCACGCAGACATAAAATTGATAGCCTCTTCCATATGGAAAAGAGTATGACATACACAGGAAGTTAGAGACATTGACATAATTGTCTTCAAAGTACAGACAGGCCTGGCACTTTGAGAAATTTTAAGTCGGTATTCACTCTATGAAATGATGGAACATAAATGAATAATAATATTCCCGAGGAACTGTAGTCATATGAGGAACTTTCTTTAATGTAAGTTGCTAAGATTTAGGGAGAATCATTTGTGTATTTGTTTGTTTTGTATGTTAACAAGTTTTATGTTTGCATACAAGGAAGAAGTGTCTCATGGAGATAATATATTACAAATTATGTTTCAGTTATAATGGTTGATTTAGTGAATTTTTTAAATTGAAGTATAGTTGATTTACAATGTTGTATTCTTCTGTACAGCAAAGCAACTCAGTTATACAAACATATACATTCTTTATATATACATATAATATTATATGAATACATATTTATATTCTTTTCCATTATGGTTTAAATACAATTTTATCTCTACTTAATCAAAGCTTGTTGATTGCCTTTGAGAGGATAATATTCTACCTGTGTTAGGCAAGCATTCGTAGATGGTGCACACTGCCTTCCCAGGGCCTATTTGCTGTTGTATACCAAGCGTCCTGGTCCAGTGTCCCCATCACACTCTGCAGAGGATTGTGCTCTCACCCATTCTGTAAGGAGACCTTGTGTGCTCACATGGTCAGACGTGGCAGACTCCGTGGATAAACCTGTGAGCTTTAGTAGCGAGGTACTTGAACCTAGCCAGACTTCTCTCATACAGTCTCCTCCTTGGAACCTGGGAAAAGAGCTAATGCTGGAGTAATGTATCCTCCCTCAAAGTTGAATTGGGTGGGTCAAGAGCCACCCTGTCCTCTCTACTGGAGGGATTCTGACACTCATTCTTGGGAGAGCTCTTCCTTAGCTTGGTCCTTTTGTTACCTCTGCTCGACAGAAAGTACCATCTTAAGGGATAGTTCCTTAAGTTCCAGCATGGTCAGATGCTTCAAATAGTTCTCAGTAAACTGGATAAACAAATAACAATTGTCCCAATTTGGGAACTTTTAGGGGCATTTGGGGATATCTCTTATGGTGAATTGTTCCAGGATAATTAAAGATACTTTCCTGGAGACATTTTTCTTCTAAATAACAAGTTACTTTGGGAAAATCTAACTGATCATTCTATTATGCCTTGTGATTCTTGTTAGTAAGCCCATAAAAGTATAAATAATCACAGCAAAACTGCAGACAGCAGGAATTCTAGTCACTGGCAGAGATGATGCCAAATGAGTGCAATGTGATTCCTCTGGAAGATCCAAATCCTGAAGGTGTCCTCACTACATTTTGTGGAATGTACGACCTCATATTGATATATTCAGTTGCAAAATAATGTCATGGGGAAAACAAGACATGCAGATATTCATGGGTCTTAGGAAACCATTCATCTCTCTCACTGGAACCTGAATATTAAGTCTAGAACCTTCCTTATCCCTACAACATCCATTTACCCCATAAAGTGACCTATTTATATTGCCATTAAGCCATCCTTAAGATTCTATTTTGTCACTAATGATTAACAGTTAGTTTCCTAGATTAAATACATTTCCTAGATTATATTTTTAGAGAGAATATATAAGCTTGATTAAAATGTCAATCCAGTAAATATTAATCTTATTCCTACTATGTGCAAATTACTCTGCTGAGTGCACTAGAGAATAAGAATGTAAGTAGTACCAAGTACCTGTCTTCATGGTATTTGAAAATCTAGTGATTGGGAGCAGTGCATAAATGAGGGTAACGTAAAGAAAACTATGGCCACTTCCATAAGGTAAGCATTAAGTACTATTGCATTTTAGAAAAGGAGTGCTCACATATGAGCATCGATGTAATGCTCATAGGTGATTACTAAATAAAAGGGAGTATTTAAGATGGACTCAGAAGATAAGTAGAATTTAATGGCTAGAGATGTGCAAGGCAAAGGCATTGAGATAGCAAATCATCTGATGTTTTTAAATGCAGAGCCTCTAAGGATGAGTATGGGAGAGTAATAGGAGGTACAAATGCACAGGTAGGTGGTCTAGGGTTAGGGCTAGGGTTAGGGTTAGAGTTAGAGTTACTGTGGATGGCCCTGAATGCCAGCATGGAAACTGACCTTAATCTGGTTATTAGAGGAGAGCTAATGACCATTCATGAACAAAGGAATGGTGTGAAGCCACTGTGCTCTCGCAGGAACACACTAGCTTGGGACTGGAATATGGACTGCAGAGAGGAGGAGACAGAGGAGACTGCTAATGTGGGACTAGTGGGAAGACTATAGTAGTCCCAGCAACAGGTAACAGGGACCAGGAATCGTGTTTTTAGGAACTGAGTCGCACAAGAAGGGGGCAGAAGAGAGATGGTCATGTGCAAGTCAAGGAAGTCAAGTCAGAAAAGAGGGGATGGGCAACCAAATTCTAAGGGGAATGTTTGCAAGAAGAGGTGCCTAAAGAAGACATTTTAAAAAATTCTCCTAGATGGTCCATAAGATTTAAAATGTCACCATGTGTAAAATGGTTGCAGAATATTTTAGTTCCTTCTCTACATCAAATAATACACATTAACCATAATTTTGGATTGTATTTAATATCCACATGAATTAATATGCATGAGAGGGCAGGCTCGAAGCAAGTTCAAATTTTATCCAGACATATAACCTCAAGTTTCATACATTGCTTTTCAGTGGGACACTTCTCTTGCTCAAGTAGGTGGTAAGCTTCTGAAATGTAGATGTTCTTTTCTTCTTGTAGACCCAGAACAGTGCCGAAAGTGAGCAAGCAGTAAACGCTTCATGATTCATTTATAGTTAAATAATTGTGATAAGTAGAACAGGTATTTGTGTTCTTTTCTGCTTTTATGCAATCACAATGACTTTGCTCACTTAAAACTTTGGCCTTTTACACTTGCACAAGATAAGAATCCTGTTTTAATGAGGTTAGAAAGGTAAGAGCAGCATATTTTCAATATTCAGAATCACTGTGATGGGAAACAGAGGTGCAGCATGTACTATTTCCTGAGGAGAAAGTAGAGACCAACCATTGAGACAGAAAACTGATTTAAATTAATTAATTTTTATCATCTTTATTGGAGTATAATTGCTTTACAATGTTGTGTTAGTTTCTGCTGTATAACAAAGTGAATCAGCTCTATGTATACATAGATCCCCATATCCCCTCCCTCTGAGTTTATTATTTTAAACTATATGATAGATCACATCTGTAATCCAGAAAAAACCTTCCTAATGGTATTCCTTTTTAAAATTTTAGTTATTTAGCAGAACCTTGTATTATATTACCTAGGTTTAATCAACTAAATAGAAATTATTAGAAAAATCTGTTACATTCTGACAATTATATTCTGGTCCATGAGTTGGCTTCTAATAGATGATCAAAATCAATAGACTTCTAGCAGGGAATCGCAAGGAAAAATATCATGGAAGAGTTTAATATTAAATCACATATTACATTAAGAAATTAATACAAATTCTCCTTATAAAATGCAAGCTTTTGATAAAATACAGAGACCACTAAAACCTCAAGTCCACAATATACATGATAGCAAAAGTAAGAAATTGAATAAGGCTACAATTTGAGGGAATGAAAAGCCGTAACTTTTTGATTGTTTCTTGATTCAAGACATCTAACCAGTTTTGCATTATGGTCTCAGAAATATCTGGTAAAACTGTTGTAGAACATTTTGAAATTAATTTAATCTACTTTCTGTGTAATAGTGCATTTTTACATTATCGAATTACAAATTATCCTGAAAGAGCATAATCTAGGCCTTTGGGATGTCTTTTGAATTTCCTCTG